CCAGGCATGTGTGCGTGCTTCCCCAAGATCCCAGGAGGAGAACGGAGAAGGAATTGCGGCATGGCCATCCCCACTGGGGGGTGATTTCTCACTTTCCCTCTCACTGTCTCTCTCTGTTGAATCATCCCCCATGGGGATGGCCACCCTGTAATCCCTTCTCCTCCATTCTCCTCTGGGGAGCATACTTGCCCCAAGGCAAAAACCTCTAAATAAATAAAGAGTTAATCGGGACCAGCACTTGGCATAATGGCTCAGTTGCTTGACTCTCATGTAGTTGACCGCAGTTTGAGTCCTGGACCTGGTGACTTAAACTCACGCCGGGCATGTGTGCGTGTGTGCCTAGGATCCTGAGAGGAGAATGGAGGAGAAGGGATTGTGGCATGGCCATCCCCCCAGGGGGGGACTTCTCATTTTCTCTGTCTCTGTCTCTGTCTCTCTCTGTCTTTCTGGCGAACACACATGCCCTATAGCAAAAACCTCTCCAAAAAATAACTAACTAACTAACTAACTAGTTAATCATGGTAACTACTGCAGGTAGAAAAGGAAGGAGGAAAATTTCAGTTTTTTTTTTCCTTTTAAAGGATTATTTATCTAATTTTATTTATTATTTTTTTTAATTTGCTATAGGGCACATGTGAAAGATGAAGAGAGAAAGTGACGAAACAAGTCACCAGGTCTGGGATTCAAACCACAGTCGGCCAAGTACAATAGGAATCCAGCACCATAACCATCATGCTATCTGCTGGCCCTGAAATTTCAGTTCTTTCTTTAAACATTTTGGTCACTACAAATTTATTTTACCACTTGGATGTTTTTACTATAAATTTTTTTTTTTTAGATTTTTGCCACAGGGCACATGCACTCACTGAAGAGACGGGCGGGGTGAATCATCCCCTATGGGCCACCCTGTAATCCCTTCTCCTCCATTCTCCTCTTGGGATCTGGGGCATGCACACACACACACACACACACACTCGCGTGATTTTCAAGCACTTGAGTCCAAGACTCAAAGCGCAGAGTCGGCCATGTGGGATCCAGTGCCTTTACTACCATGCCACCTGCTGGCCCCACCATGAATGTTTTTTTGAATGAGACAGAGAGAGAAACGGAAGGGGAAGGACAGGCATCATCACGATCCCCCTGCCCCAGCCTCCCCGTCAGCTAGGATTCCACACACACACCACATCCAGCCTGTTCAAGTTGGGTCTGGAACCAAACCCGGGCCTCCCAGGTCACCCCGGCATAACACGGCAGCATCCTACTGCTTACACTGCCACGGCTGGGCCTTACTGTGGATTTGGGAGATGCGGACATAAAGAAACAATAGACTTTTCAAATACAGATAGCATTAAAAATAAGTCACCCTGAGACGGATTGTAAACTATGATTGGGGTTTTGTCTGCGCGGCAAAAATAGGGCACAGCCATGGTTGCAGGGGGCATGTTTAACCTACTTCAGAGAGCCAGCTGTTTTTCCAAATTGTCAGCATATGAATTGTTGATAGCAAGTGGGTGCTGCTAATTACAGGCCTTTCTTATCTATTCATTAAAATAGGAGCCCGACTTGCCCACACTTTTTGCCAGCTGTGCGCTCCACAGATAAAACAGCATTTATGTAGCAACAGTCCCCAGGCCACAGGATTCGCAAGATTCAGGTGAGCCCCCCTGCGTCTGCACTGGCGAGGGGGCACTGCACCCCCACGGCTGGCAGCTCCTCACCCCTGAAGTAAGTAAGGGACCTTCCTCACATTGGCAGCTTCCCCCACTCGATCCTCATCTTGCACATGAGGAAACTGAAGCCCAGCGGGGAAGTGAGCTGGCCTGCCTTCCCTCTGCCCCAGTCCCCTGGCCCTCCTCACTGGTTCTGGTCGAGGTCCCCAAAGGCGCTGAGGTAAGGGAAGTTTCCACGGATGATCTGGAACTCTTCCTGTGAGATGTGGCCATCCCCATCGACGTCAAAGTTCCGGAACACAGACTGGGGCACACAGAGGGACACGGAGGGGCCGGAGAGGGGAGAAGAAAAGGGCTGTCAGGCCCTATCCCCTCTTCCATTCCCAGTGGTTTTTTAAGTGCCTCAGACATAGCTCTCCCACCACCTCCCTCTTCCATGTGCCCACCCCAACCCCACGCAGCCCTGTGTGGCTAGCCTGCTCTGCCCCATGACCCCTGTGGCACTTGGTGGTTCCCAGGGCACTGCTGACCACTACTTCTGCCAGTGGGCTTTTCCCTCCATCCTCAGCTCCAGGAGTCTCACCTCCACCATCTTCTCAATGTGCTCCGCCACAAGGGCCTGGTCCAGCTTGGGTTTGGCAGCCGAGGTCCACTCCTCTAGTACCGGAGGCCGGGGAGGTGGGGTGCAGCTTGTGGGACTTGTCGGCTATGGGAATGGTCAAGCTTGGGCTAGATTCAGAGGCAAAGGGAGCCCAGTGCCCAGAGGAGCAGAGAAGGGAACACCCAGGGGAGAAGGGAGCCTGCCTGGAGCCACTGCCCACCCCTAGGACATCTGTGTCCAACATGCAGGATAGGTGAGGTGGCTTCTAAGAGCTTTTCCCATCCTCACATCTGGGGCTGCTCAGGTGGGGCCAAGTGGGGCATCAGGGAGTCCTGCCCTCACCGAAGACTTGGAGCGTGGCTCTCGCTGCAGGGACAGCTGATACAATTCATCCTCTGTCTGATACTGATCCAGAGATACCTAGGACAGGCAGGTCTGATCACACCCACTGCCCCACTGCTCCCAGGAGACCACAGCCCATAGCCCGGGACTGCAGGTACACCTAGAGGCCTCAAGTCAGCCCAGAGCTGGGTTCAGGGCCTGGCTTAGGACAAAGTCCAGCAGCCCATGCCAGCTAGCACCCAGAGCAGACCACAGCTTAGGCCCCAGATCTTGAAAACAAGCGCTGCCAAGATCTGAATCAAGAAGCGAGGTCAGAACCCCAGCCAGGAGCTCTGAATTTCATCCATCGTCCAGCTCAGACATCAACCCCGATCCCTATTCAGAGCCCAGAAGCAGCTAAGAATTCACTACGAACTCTAAAACCTAAGCCCAAGGTGACCAACCTTATCCAGACCTTGTCTAGATCTAGACTAGAACCTGACTCTCCCGAGATCCCAGAACTGAGTCCAAGACAAGTCCAGAACTTTGCTCAGGACCATGTTTAGAAACCACCCCCTGGGACCAGCAGTTAGTGTAATGGCTATGTCGCTGAACTCCCATGTAGTCAACCACGGTTCGAGTCCTGGACCCCGTGGCTAAACTCATGCTGGGAACGTGTGCGTGCGTGCCCAAGATCCTGAGAGGAGAATGGAGGAGAAGGGATTGCGGCGTGGTCATCCCCCCTGGGGGGTGATTTCTCGCTTTCTGTCTCTCTGTCTCTTTGTCTTTCTGGCAAGCGCACACCCCCTATAGCAAAAACCTCTCCAAAAAAAGAAAAAGAAACCACCCCTGCCCAAGGAATCTAGTATGTGGCCCCAAACCTTGAACACAATCCACTGCCAAAAAACTCAACCTAACACCCAACCTCAAACTCAGCTTGCAGCCACAGCCACAGCTGGAGCCAGCTTAGACGTCACTCTGAGAGCCCACAGTCAGGACCTGGAGTACTGTCAACCCTGGTACCCGGCCACCAGATTCCCTGCCCCTGGGCACTCACTGTGAGCAGGCTTAGCAGATCAGGGTTGGCTTGCACCGGGGGCCGTAGGCTGGTCACCATGGCCAGCTCCTCCAGGATGCTGAAAAGTTGCTTCATCTTGGCCCCGTTGAGCTTGGTCCGGGCAGGGTCCAGCCAGTCAGGCAGAGCCAACTGCAGAGCCACCAGGTCCTTGAGGTGCACACCCAGGATGGGGAAGCGGAAGCCCACACAGGCTGCCAGCCGGCGCCGGTAGTTGCCATAGTTGCCCGTGGCCGTCACTAGTTCTGTCAGACCTTCCCAGAGCTGGGGGTGGGGAGGGGGAGCAAAGGGCAGAGGGGCACATGCTCAGATCCCACTCGACCATTTCCTCCACCCTTGGCCCTGGATACGTGGGAGATGAGGAGTTGGGATCAAGGATAGGTGAACAGTGGGAACCAGCAGTTAGTGTAATGGCTATGTCGCTGGACTCCCATGTAGTCAACCGCGGTTCGCATCCCGGACCCGGTGGCTTAGAACTCACGCCGGGCGCGTGTGTGTGCGTGCCCAAGATCCCAAGAGGAGAATGGAGGAGAAGGGATTGTGGCGTGACCATCCCCCCTGGGGGGTGATTTCTCGCTTTCTGTCTCTCTGTCTGTCTCTGTCTGTCTGGCGAGTGCATGCGCCCTATAGCAAAAAAAAACCTCTCCAAAAAAAAACAAAAAAAAGGATAGGTGAACAGTTAAAATCCTCCCTTACTGTCTCCCCCACGGCTCCTGCAGCTCCTGGGGTTCAGAGTTCATAGGTCATGAATTCAAAGGAACATTCCTTACCAAATAGCACACCTCTACACCAGGCCTGGGCACAGGTTATCATCAACATTTAACAGAAGAAGAAACTGAGGCTCCTGGAGGCCAGGCAGCACAGCACAAGGACCTAGAAGAATGCTCTCAACTGTGCCGTCCCTAACAGCAGAAACTGGAAAAACCTCAGACATTCAACAATAGAATAGATACACCACCAACCGAGTAGACTTACAGCAACATAATATACAGCAATGAAAAAGAATGAACAACTGTTGGGACCAGCAGTTGGTCTAATGGCTATGTCGCTCGACTCCCATGTAGTTGACTGTGGTTCGAGTCTCAGACCCAGTGGCTTAAACTCACACTGGGTGCATGTGCATGCCCAAGGTCCAGAGAGGAGACTGGAGGAGAAGGAATTGCGGTGTGGCCATCCCACCCCGGGGGGTGATTTCTTGTTTTCTGTCTCTCTGTCTCTCTCTCTCTCTCTATCTTTCTGATGAGCACACACACCCTATAGCAAAAACCTCTCCAAAAAAAATAAATGAACAATTGCTCCACGTAATGGAATGAAAAAATTCTCACAATCACGTGGAATGAAAAAGGCAAGACATGAACTAAAATACACGATTCGATTCATACAAAATTCAAAAACAGACAACAAAAACCCTGCACTGTTTTGGGATGCATACATAGGTGGTAAAACTATAAAGAAATGTTGAGCCGCCTGGTGGTGTAGCAGTTAAGGCAGCTGGATCTCACATGGCTGACTGTACAGTCTGAGTCCCAGGTCCAGAGAGAAAAAACATCCTGGGTGCAGTGCATGCTCGAAACCCCAAGAGGAGAATGTGGGAGAAGGGGTTTTGGCACGGCCACGGCCCTTGTGCAGCACTTCCTCATTCTCTTGCTCTCTGGCAAGCACATGCACCCTATAGCAAAACAAAACAAAACAAAACAAACAAAAAAAACACTATAAAGAAACTCAAGATCAATCATATAGCCATGCCACTGGACATCTCTGGTGGGAAAGGAGTTTGCCCTGAGGTGCAGGAGGCTCAGAGGGTTGACAATTGTATTTTTTTTCTAGTTTTTTTGTTTTTTGTTTTTGATAGTTTTTCCTGTAGGACACTGCTATCACTAGAGAGGGAAAGTGAGAAACCACCCCCCCAGAGGGATGGCCATGCCACAATTCCTTCTCCTTCATTCTCCTCTCAGGATTTTAGGCGCACACACACACACACACACACACAGGTGACCTGTGTGTTTTTCAAGCTGCGGGGTCTGGGATTCAAAAGGTGCATTCAGCCACACAGGACCCAGGGTCTTAACTGCCATGCACCTGCTGGCCCAGCAGTTCTATTTCTTGACCTGGGCAGTGGTTCTACAAGTTTTTTATTATTTTTCTTTAGACTGTTTATATATATATATATATATTTGGACAGGGTTTTTTTTGCTAAGGGCATGTGCGCTTGCCAGAAAGTCAGAGAGACAGAGAGACAGAAAGTCAGATATCATCCCCCAGCGGGGATGGCCACGCCGCAATCCCTTCACCTCTCGGGATCTTGGGCATGAGTTTAAGCCACTGGGTCCGGGACTTTAACCGCAGTTGACTACATGGGAGTCCAGTGACATAGCCAGTACGCCAAGTGCTGGTCCCAACTGTTCATATGTTTTATATACTTTTCTTTATGCATATTACCCAATATATTTTTAAAAATTTAAGGAGGACCAGCTCCAAGGCCTGGTGGTTAAAGGAGTTGGATCCCACATGGCCAGCCACACAGTTCAAGTCTCAGACCTGGTAGTTTGAGAAACATACCAGCCACCTATGTGTGCACGCATCAAATCCTGATGGAGTGGAGAGGTGGGCAAGAAGGGATTTTGCAGCACGACCAATCCCCAAAGGGGTGCTTTCTCCCTCTCTCTCTCTCTCTCTCTCTCTCTCTATTTCTGGCAAACACACATACCCTCTGGGAAATTAAAATAAGTAAATAAGTTTAAAAAAAAAAAGGAAAAAGAGAAAAATGCATAGCTTTGGGGTCAGGCAGACCTGTGGGCCTCCTCTCTGCCAGTTTAATTGTGCAACCAGGGAAAAGCATTTAACCCCTCTGAGCCTCAGTGTCCTCATCTGTCAAATGAGGACAGTAGTGCCTGGCCCCAGCCCTGCTAGGAAGACTGTCAGCCCAGACCAGGGAAGCACTGGCCCCCTCCCCAGTCCCAGGCACCTTGATGGTCTCAGGGCTAACGTGGCTGTGAGTCTCCTTGAGGCGGGAGATGGAGCTGTGACTCAGGCCTCCGACCACCGCCATCAGCGTGTTGAAGTTCTGCAGCTGCAGCAGCTTCTGGGGGGCAAATGGGGAGGGGGAGGCGGTGAGTTACTGACTGGGCCCAGAATTCAGCCTAGACTTTCTGGAGAGAAGGCTGTGGGTGAGTGGAAAGGAGGGACTCTCCTGACTGACCACTGTAGGGGCTGGGGAGGTGCGGGGAGGGGTGGGCACCTCTGCCACGTGGACAAAGTGCGTGATGACCAGGGCCCGCTGCGGGGCCGTGGGCTTGCTGAGAATCATGAGCTGCACCCACTGCGAGACACTGTTGAAGAGGGAGATGAATCGCTCCAGGACTGGGTTGTCCACAGTGCAGCCATGAGTCACAAAACTGTGATAGTCCTGGAACTAGAGTAGGCAGGAGCAGCCTCAGCGCCTGGACGCCTCACTCCTGGCCACTGTCCACCCTCTCGCTGTCCTTTGGTGGTTACACTGAAACCCGCAAACCACCCCGTGACCTGGCCAACTCGAACCCCTGGCCCTCCTGGCAGCCCCTTCCCCACCTCCACTGGACCCCCAACCACAAGCCCTCGGGCCACACCAGGATCTTGCAGAAGGAGCGATACTCCAAGTAGGTGAGATGCTCTGCCAGCTCCAAGGGCTCCAGGTGGTCGAATAACAGGGACATCTTACGCTTTTTCTGTCCCACGGGGTTCCGTTGGGTCACCTGCCGCTTCCACTTGTAGGTGGGGCTGGGGGGCAGGGGGTGTGAGCCCTTTGCTGGAGAAGCCCCATGCCCATGGCCCCACACTCACACAGACATGCCACTCAAGCAGGAGGACCTATACAATGCGAGGCACTGTCCCAGACTCTAACATCCCCAGTCCCTGCACCCCTCCAGCTCTCCCCCCATCATGCACTCAGCACCCATTTATGGACGACATACTCTGGGCCAGACACTGTGCTAGGTGCTAGGCTTACAGGAGCGAGACACAGCTCCTATGCTCGAGGAGCCAGTCTGCTGAGGAAGACAGACATGGGGACACATACAGTCGCGACAGCATGACACACGCACAGAGGTCTTTGCACAGCAGTCTGTACAAAGTGCCATGGCAGAACAGAGGAGGGAACAAATCGTGCCTGCCCCGGAAGAGCCCCCAGTCCTCCGAGGCTGCAGAGACTTCACACTTGAGCTGAGTCTTGGTAACACGGAGGAGGAGGCAAGGTGAATACAAGCACAGCACCATGGGAAAGGATGCAGGGACTCAGACAATGGCAAGGGCCCGTGGAGCTGTGCTATGAGGTGTGTGGCATGGGCGGTGGGCTGTGGAAGATGAGGCGGGAACACCAAGCTGGTCTGAGACTACAAAGGACCTTCATGCCCAGATGAGGCATTTTGAAGACAACAGGGAGCCATGGAAGGTTTTGAAGCAAGAGAGTGACAAGACCCTCACTCATTCAATTCAACAGACATTTATTATGCACAGATGGTGTAGGATGCTGAGCGCCTCCCCCAGCCCTCCGAGCTCCCCCCCACGCACACACTCTCGATGTCGATGAGGCTGCTGTGCCTGCGGTTCCCTTCTTGGTCCAGCAGAGCCTTCAGCTCCTTGATCTGCTCAGCCAGCTCTGGGTTCAGGTCAAATTCTGCTGGTCCCTGGGCTGTTCTCACACCGTTCTGATGAAGTGTGGAGTGAGGAGGGGAGTCTGTGTTGGAGAGCGAAGACCACTGCTGGGTTCGGGTGCTCTGCTCGGAGGCCGAAATCCAGTACCTGGTGGAGAGGCAGAGTCATCCACGGCAGCCCTTCCCCTACCATCCCAGTGGGCTGCCCAAGGGACTAATTATAGGCCCCCAAAGAGGAGGAATGAGCCTCAAGTTGTGGTTCCTCTTCTCCCAGCTCTTTCTTGCTTCAGGTTTTACAGAAACCCCTTGAGGTAGCCAGCCCTCTTGCACAGATAAGAAAACTAAGGTAGAATTGAGTAAGGGACAAGCCTATAGCCACACAGCCCACCTGGACAGGGCAGGGACTCATATTCACGTGACCCAACTCCCAGAACAGCCTTCTGTCCACTCCCTGGGGCCAGTCTAAAGCCTGAGAAGACAGAGCAAGAGGAGGGGCCAGAGGCCCAGAAGGAAGACTCACCTGACCAGGTGGCATGTTTTCACCTGCAATGAATTAGAGTTGTCCTTCCGGGACTGCTGGTAGGTGAAGAAGAGTTAAGGAAAACAAGGATGAAGCCTGACTCCAGGAAGGGAGGCTGGGGGTGGGGCCTGGCCCTAGGGCCTAGAAGGGCGGCTGGGCAACTGCACTGGAAAGGGTTGCTTAGGGGTGAAGCGTCAGCCTTGGGAGGGGGCTGAGAGGGGTGGGAAGCTCAGTTCTAAGGGAGACTGAGCACAGGGCCTGGGCTCTGGGAGAGAGGCAAGAGGTGGGACCTGGGCTGGTAGCAGGTGTTGGTTCTGGTCCTAGGATCCTGGAAGACTGTAGGCAAGGCCTAGGCTGGGGTCTTGCCACCAAGGGGCCTGAGCTGGGAGGGAGAGGGGTGGATCTTAGGCCCTGGAGGGAGGCTGCCAAAGCCCGGATTCTAGGATGCGCAGGAGGGGCCTAAGCTCAGGGAATGTGTAGCTAGTTCTCAGCCCCAGCCGACCAGCGACCAGCGGGGCTTGCTCATGGACTCCGCTCATGGACTCCGACGGCAGGGACCTGGCGAGGCCCGCGAAGGATATATGTGGAGTAGTTTTGCAGCCAGCTGAGAGGAGGGGATGTACCAGGGGTGCATCATGAGAAACATGCGCACCAGCTGCGGATCCCGTACCTTCCCGGAGTCATCTAACTCCGAAGGGTCAAAGAGAAGGGGCTGACCCTTGGTCTCACAGTCGGGGTTCTGCACCCCTCCCCGCAGCCACAGGGGTATCTGCCCCCTGGGGCCGCACTCGACCCCGCCCACCTCCTGCTTTCCCAGGACTCTGAAACTGGGAGGCATAATAGAAAGAAAGGTAGGGTGGGAAAGGGATGAAGCAGGATCGGAGGTGCTGGAGCTCCGCGTCTGAGCCAACCCATGGCGTGGAGGGGAACCAGCTGGGCGGAAGGAGCCTGGGTTCCCCGGGGTCAAGAATCCAGAGGTCATTTCCTGAGTGCTCAGGGAAGGGGCATCCCCTCCAGCAGATAAGTCGCTCCCCCCACCCCCATCAGCCGGAAACAGCTCCCAGGCCGGAGACAGCTAGTTCCTCCGGATCCCCTCCCACTCCCCCCCAAGACAGATAATGCCCCTTGTGGGTCAGAGTCTGGGACCCCAGCTCTCCCTTCGTCACTAGCTCGGTTAGACTGGGCAAGAGAAACATTTCTCTTCTCCAAAGTGTGTGCATCTCTCTAGCCTATGTCGAAGAGGAGGCTTTCCTTAGAGGCTGCAAGATGCGGAGCTGGGTGGGTCCAGACCAAGGGTAAGCCCTGGGAGACGGGCGCCCGGGTTGGGGCTCGGGACTAGGTTCAGGCTCCTGAGCTCTCCCGTCCCACTCACCGAAGGCTTCGATGCAGCCGCGAAGCAGCTCCTCCACCGTGCAGCCCTTGTCCAGGTCCAGGGTGCTCGCCATGGCCGCCGGCACGGGTGGCCTTGGCCCAAGATGCGCTTCGGGAGTCTTACACGGAGCTGGGACCGGACCCCTACCCGGAGAGGGAGAGCAGGAGTGCAGAGGCACGAGCTGGGGGAGCGGCCCGCGGGCAGGAACGGGGCGGGGCGGGCACGCCCCCTGCTGGGCAGGGGCGGAGTTGTCCGCAGCGGCCACTCCCGGGGTTAAACGGTCTGGCCTGGGATGGTGCAACCAGTCAGTTGGGAAACAGACCCGCGGAGAGGCTTCCGGCCCACCCTAGGAGTCGCGGGAGGGCAGAGAGGCTCTGTCAGAACGAAAACGAGCCTAGACTCCATGGGCCGGCTGGTGCCCCAGGTCTCTGCAGGCCCTCTTCTCGCATCCTCTCCCCAGAGGCACCTGCAGCACCCGCAGATCGGCTTTGTGCCCCTCCCGCTTCCCTCCTTCCTCAGCCTCCCTTCCCCCGCAGGGTTATTTTGGGAACCCAGAGCCTGAGGGGACCTCGGAGGAATTTCTCCCTGGAATCGGAGGGGGGTGAAGAGAGAACCCAGGCGTCCTGCCCGCATCGCCCTCCTCCCGGGCGCCGGGGGAGGGGAGGCGGGGCTGTGGCGGGCCCCACGGGCCTGCCCTAGGGGAGGCGGGCTGGAATGGAGAGGAACATTCCTAGGGCGGGGAGGACTGGAGCTCCCTGCGGCCCGGAGGCGTCAGCGGGAAGCCTGAGCCTGGGAACCGCGCGCTCCGAAGCCACCTCGGTGTAGGCCCCATGGGTCCTGGCTCAGTCATTCAGGCCATCTTCCTCTCTAATCTGGCGGCCCCCACGGGCCTGCCCTAGGGGAGGCGGGCTGGAATGGAGAGGAACATTCCTAGGGCGGGGAGGACTGGAGCTCCCTGCGGCCCGGAGGCGTCAGCGGGAAGCCTGAGCCTGGGAACCGCGCGCTCCGAAGCCACCTCGGTGTAGGCCCCATGGGTCCTGGCTCAGTCATTCAGGCCATCTTCCTCTCTAATCCAGGCTCCTGACCCAGACCCCCGCCCTGCACAGGCGAACTGCGAGCGTACACAGTATGGTGCCCAGAAGGGGGCGCTAGTGTCATGGGGGGGTGGCCAGTGCCTGCATGACCACCAACTCTGGTCACGGGCGAGGGTGGGGGAAACAGACTCGGTCCATACCCACTTGATTCACCGTGTCCAGGAACTTACACGGGGGTGCAAGACGCCACTGCTCACACACCCGGCCCACAGGCACTCGCCTCCCATCCTCTGTCTCACACACATAATGGCACCCACACTCTGTGCACACCTGCAGAAAGGAGCTCTCAGGCACACATACCCAGCTCCCCGACCCCGGAACGCAGTCCCTCGGACTAGGTCGCTTCCCGCACCTGCTGTTCAGTGGAGCCAGGCCTCGGCGGTGCTGATATCCGCACACGTGTGCACACACGCAAAACTGCATTTCCACGCATGTTCCCTCTCCCACACACATGCACACAGCCCCGTGGGTGCGCACACGCCCATTCCACCTCCTCCTCCTTCGCTCATGGTCCAGGGCCCGCCCCTGCGGCCCCAGCGCCCTGACTCCCTTCATTGCCATACCCTGACAGAGCTTGGCCCCCTGGGTAGGTACCCAGCCCCTACACCTGCTCCCCCAGGCTGGGGGTGCGAGGAGCTCCTCTAAGGAGTTCTCTGGAGGACTTTTCCAAGGAGCCACCCAGAGCCGTCCCCGCCTTCCTCTGCTGCTTTCTCGTCGTGTGACCTTGAGAATCACTTGGCCTCTCCTAGCCTCAATCTTCTCATCTGCCAAATGGGGATTCGACGGGGGCGGGGAGGACCCCGCTGAGATGAGGCTGGGAAAAGCCAGATGCGCTGCAGATGCCCCCACTCCGGCTGGTGGGCCAGACCGCCTCAGCTCCCACCGCAGTTCCTTCCGACCCTCGCCCCAAGAAGGGACTCCCCACCCACCCGCCGGCCGCTCGCAGCCCGCCTGCGCCTCCCTG